AGCTCACAGCTGATCACTGGACCAATGAATGTTATTACATTCAAATTAAGACTCAAATATCACTCATGATACTACATGACTATATGATACTGCTCACACTGGGCCAGAGGAGTCAATACACTCAGATAAAACAGGTGAGAAAGGAGCCATATAGCAACATGTGTTATCCTGTTATGACAGTAATGGAAATATCAGGAATATTCCATGGACACTGAGATGTTTGTAATCAGGATATTAAGCTGATTAACAGCCTAACCACAACTGCTCAGTATTTAAAGACACAAACACAGCACACAAAGCAAACTCATGTTTCTGCATATTTAGTCTTTATGTTAGTGGATAAACCAGCTCTATTCTTGAGCTGGTTTCCTTTTCTTCTCTCTGTGATGTTGTGAAATCTCTGAAACCTACAAATTGCCCATTGGATATTGTCCCTGCCAAATTGTTGAAAATGGTTTTTAATACTGTAGGGCCCAGTCTCATGGTTTTTATTAATTCCTGCCTTAGATTAGGAACTGTCCCAGCTGCCTTTAAACATGCTGTGGTCAGGCCCCTTCCTAAAAAGCCTAATCTTGACCCCTCAGTTTTATCAAACTTTAGACCTGTTTCCAATTTGCCCTTTCTTTCTAAGGTTTTAGAAAAAGTTGTCTTTATACAATTACAGTCCTTTCTTGAGGATAATTCTGTTCTTGAGAAGTTTCAATCTGGGTTTAGGGCTCGGCACAGCACCGAGTCTGTGCCCTGCTGTCTTGGTGCTGCTTGATCTCACAGCAGCATTTGACACGGTGGACCATGCAGTCCTCCTGTCACGTCTAAGTAGCTATGTTGGCATCCACGGCACTGCATTGAAGTGGTTTTCGTCTTACTTGTCCAGTAGAACCTTCTCTGTTATGGTTGGTGACCTTTCCTCTTCCAGCGCTCCCCTCTTCTCTGGAGTCCCACAAGGATCTATTATTGGCCCTATACTCTTCTCATTGTACATGCTACGACTTGGGTCAATTATAGCCAGGCACAACCTTTCTTTTCACTGTTATGCAGACGATTTACAAATCTACCTGCCAGTGAAGCCTAATAGTAACAGTGCTCAATGTTCTCTGTTTGATTGTATTGCTGATATTAAGCAGTGGTTGGCCCTAAATTTTCTTCATCTAAATGATGATAAAACTGAATGTATTGTGTTCGGGGATACTGTGATGGCTGGCTTTGGCACCTTGTCTTCAAAGCTCAGTCCAACGGTCAGAAATCTGGGCGTGACCTTTGACAGTCATCTGAGGTTTGACAAACAAATTAACAATGTTGTCAGGACTAGTTTTTTCCAGTTGCGTCTCCTGGCCAAAGTTAAAATGTTTTTAAGCCGTCACGACCTTGAGAAAGCCATCCATGCACTAATAAATTCAAGGTTAGACTACTGCAATGCGCTTTATGTTGGTGTCTCCCAGTCTTCTCTCGGTCGCCTAACAGACGGGTGCACATCACTCCTGTTCTTAACTCTCTTCATTGGCTTCCTGTCCGTTATAGAATTGATTTTAAACTTTTATTGTTTGTTTTTAAAGTTCTCAACGGCCTTGCCCCATCGTATTTATCTGATCTTTTAACTGTCCGAAATCCTGGTAGACCTCTGAGGTCTGAGGTCCAACTTTTGCTGGAAGTGCCCAGATCAAATACAGACACTGGGGTGACTGAGCCTTTTCTGTTGCTGCCCCTAGGCTCTGGAATAAGCTCCCCACCGAGATGGTTCTTATTTCTGACCTGGGCCTCTTCAAATCTAGGCTAAAAACCCACCTATTTAGGATGGCCTTTAATACCCAGTAGTATGATAACACTTTTATCTTATCTTAATCGATTTTGTTGTATCTTATTGCTCTCATTGTTCTTTTATTATTTTTTTAATTGTTTTTCACTTATTTATCTCTTCACTTATTACCTGTTGTAAAGCACTTTGGTACGCCGAAAGGATTGTTGTATAGGGCTGTATAAATAAAGTACATTTACATTTACATTTATTCTGTTTAACAATTCTCTCTCCTGCTGGTGTTGAGCCACATGGAAACAGCTCCGCTCTGAAACTTCAGACTCCAACAGAGCTTCATGAGCCCAAACCAACACACCCTCACCAGCCCCGCCTGCCTCCTCCCAGACCTGGCTTCAGGAGGGGCAGAGGCCCTGGGACCAGATGAGGGGGCTATACGTATGTAAAAGTACACACTGTAAATATGTTTAATACCAATTCAAAGTAATGAAGAGAATACAACAGCTTTAGTGTTTGTACGTCAACAGCCACTTCAGCAGTTCTCCTTCTGTGACAGATCATCTCTGTATGTTCCTGTCACAGAAGCTTCAACTAACGTTTACAGACACACGAAGGATCATCCAAGGGTTGTGTGTGTGTGTGACAGAAGGCGAGGTCAGGGCCCTAAACACCTGCTTTCTAACACTGGGCTGTTACTATCCACCACTGCCCCCCCCCCCCTCGCACACACACACACACACACACACACACACACTGTCCTTTGCTACCTTATTACCATCCTGTCAGAGCCCATTAGATCTGGGCTGTGAAGACAGAGCCTGGGGGAAACTCACACACCCACACCACTTTCCCCGGTCACCAGGGGAGACGGACAGAGTTTAACACTCTCGTCTCCGTGGAGACCTGCCTCATCACTCAGCTCAGATCAGACCACAGGATCAGACCCACATCTGAGGCATCACACAGATCGACTGTCTCTGTCAGGAATCAGTCCAAACGGTCTCAGAAGTGAGAGGAAGTTGGTCTTTACAGCACACGCCTCCTCCTCCTCCACTCAGTCTAGCTCCAGGTCACATCCTGTTTATCCAGAGTCATGTTAGATATGAACCATTCGTGTGATATTTTGTTGCTGTGTGAAGTCCTGAGTAATGGCTAAAAAGTGTTTTGTGAGGTCACACTGACCTTGACTTTTGACCTTTGACCTGAGTCTAAATGAATGTTTGTGCCAAATCTGAAGAAGTTCCTTCACGTGTTACTGAGATGAGACGGACGATGTCTGCGGCGTGGAGGAATAAAAACCTCCCAGGAGTGACTTCTGCATTTTAACTTTATGTGTGTGTTAACTCTCACACTCAGACTCTACCTGAGGCTTCAGCCTGTCTGTTCTCACATGAGGCTTTAATGTTGTT